ATACAGTACAAGGGGAGGAAAGGAGCAGATCAACCTTGAGCAGGGTTAGAAAGCGGATCGAGTTGCGTTTTTCTTTGCTCCACTAACTTCCGGTGTTGGTTGCTTGCTCCAATGCCCAATTTCCATCCGAGAAAAATAAAATAAAATAGGCAAAAATTCTGAAATTTCCATCAGCCGGTTCAAACTGCGGTTTCATCAGCACTCCGCAAATATTTTTTTTAATATCGGGGGGAATAACGTATCTGCTTCAGGGTGACGTTTCTGGTTCATTCATTTTATTCTTTCTGCGTGAATTATTCCGAGAGTTGTCATATTTTTTTTCATTAAAAAGGAAACTTCTTTATGCAGCAAATAATGTATAATTTTTTTTAAACGACGATTTTTTTTTCGACGTCGACATCATGTGACGAAGCTACACATGCTTCAATTTGTTCTCCTTTGATTGCTTTCCAAGTTTCACCGACGATGAAGAAGTTTCAAGCAGGATTTTTGCGCAGTTTTACAATTTGTTTGCGTTTTTATGAGAGCTTTGCTTCTTCCTGTTTTCTTTCAAGTTTGAACTCAATTGTATGCGCAGTTCATGAAGCTCATTGTTCAATGCGTTCTGAGACACTTTTTCTCTAATAAATCGTTTCTGATTGACATCCAATTAAATTTCTCCGTATTTGTATCTGACTTCTGGGTTACGAGGAAATGAAAATGTAGGATATTTCATGAGAATTCAACATACTGTACTTCGTGCTATCCAGTGAAATCTCGTTTTAACGAAGCCATTAAAACCAGAAAAAATGCTTAGTTATAATGAAAAACACAATATAAAGTCAATACATAAAATAACACATGGGCTGTAGGACAGAAACGTAAAAATAGTCTATTGCATTGAAATTTCGTGTAACGAGATTCTTCTGCATTTCATTTTACTTTTTTCGAGAATTGTGAAGGTTTGGATTTAATTTAAAGTATGAGCATATTTCGAACAAGATTTTCGCAAGCTTAAGATGCTTACGATAATTCTGAATTTATGAAAATGTGCAGTAACTTTTTTCGTTTTTAAACGTTGGTCGCAGTTTAGCCTGAACTGAAATTCATTTTGTTTGTGCTCCGCTGGAAAAGTTTTTCCTTGCTAAATTATTGCTTAATAAATGTGGAAGATTGAAAATGAATTACAAAAAGGAAAACCTTTCAAACCTTGGTCGCATTTCATCTCAAACGGAAATTAATTTTTTTTCTTCGCTGGAAACATTTTTCTTTGCTAAATGTTTGCTTCATCCCTCAGTATAATCTTCGTTCTTCTTTTCTCAACACCATGCTTTTGACAAAGTTTCTGTGGGTAAAAAAAAGGTGGAAGATTGAAAATGATTTACAAAAAAGGAAAACATTTCAAACCTTGGTCGCAGTTCAGCTCAAACTGAAATTAAAAAATTTGTTGTGCTTCGCTGGAAAAATGTTTCCTTGCTAAATGTTTGCTTCATCCGTCAGTATGATCTTCGTTCTTCTGTTCTCAAAACCAGCTTTTGAATGCGTTTGTGAGGGAAGAAAAATGTGGAAGATTGCAAATAAATTACAAAAAAGGAGAGTCTTTCAAACGTTGGTCGCAGTTTTCGATCTGAAATCCTTTTTTTTTTGTGCTTCGCTGGGAACATTTTTGCTTGCTAAATGTTCTCTTCATCTCTCAGTATAATCTTCGTTCTTCTGTTCTCGACTTCAGCTTTTGAAGAAAAATGTGGAAGATTGAAAATGAGTTACAAAAAAAGGAACCCTTCAAACGTTATTGGTCGTAGTTTTCGAACGGAAATCCATATATATTTTTTTTTGCTTCGCTGGAAAAATTTTTGCTTCATCTCTCAGTATAATCTTTGATCTCCTGTTCTCAACACCAGCTTTTGACTAAGTTTCTGAGGGAAGGAAAATGTGGAAGATTGCAAATGAATTACAAAAAAGGAACCCTTCAAACGTTATTGGTCGCAGTTTTCGAACTGAAATCCATTTATTTTGTTTTGTGCTTCGCTGGAAAAATTTTTGCTTGCTAAATTTTCGCCTCATCTCTCAGTATAATCTTTGATCTTCTGTTCTCAACACCAGCTTCTGAATACGTTTCTGAGGGAAGGAAAATGTGAAAGATTGAAAATGAATTACCAAAAAAAAAAAGGAAAACCATTTTTCCCCGTCGCTGTGGTTTTGCGCCCAGCGGATCAACCCAACCAACCAGCCAACGGACGAACGAACCCAAGGTCATTGAGCCGCGAACCAACGACTCTGCTAGCGCGATCGTTGTTGACTTGGTTTCCATCTATTCACTCAGTGATTCTTTTTTTTCGGTCTCATAATTTTCAGTTTATTTTTCAAATCACCGACAAAAATTGATACTCAATTTTGTGCAAAAGTGTCGCGGTTTTTCTTCGGAGATGCTTTTAAAAAGCGCAGTTTTTTTTTCTCGTTTTGTGGCCGGTTTTTTAAACGGCGGCGATTCATTTGCTTTTCAACCTTGAAATCGGGCGACTGGAGTTGTTGCTTGTAGGTAATGTTCTTTTAACGATTTCATGCGAAGCCCGTTTAAAGCGTGCGAAGGATTTCTGATTCATTAGGGAAAAATTGAAATAGAGGGGGGGGATGTGGTTTAGCTGGAAAAACATGAGTGAGTTATTTTCTGGTTTAGAAGTGACCGTCAATTATGAAGCGACCTTCGGAATGAATTCGAAATTTTGTGTTGATCAAATGGTATTTTTTCCCCACTTTTTTCCAATTTTCTTCGTGTGCCTTTGATTCAATCACTCAGAAATCGGCGCAGTGTTTACGCGAATTAAGAAGAAAATAATTGGAGACGAAAATCTGAAATTTCAAATTCCTTGCCTCATGAAAAATATTTATTTGATGAATCGAACGATCTAATTCAACTCTGAAATGTCAGTGCCCACGAAAATTGTTCGCCTGATGAAAACCCACGCATATTCTCGCAGACCAACCCCAAAAAATATATACAATATATGTTTATAAATATTTTTGTTTAAAAAAAAAACGGAAGTCCGTTTTCTACCCTGTCACGAACCGCTAGCATTTTCGCCTAATTAACGTGGGACGCGGTTAATGGTCTCGAAAGTCAAGGACACGTTGAGGCGATTTATTGGCTTACAAAGTTTTCCTCTGTCACGCTTTTTTGTTGTTTTTGTGTATATATATATATATATTTTTTTTTCGTTCAACACCCCTGTTACGCCTTCAAGTATCGCTCGGTTTTAATTTACTGTTCGTGTTCGGCGTGTCATAATTATCCGGGATGAGGAAGTACTTTTTTTGTCTTCCCTGTCTCTGTGAGGGCTTCTTGAAGGACATGAGCAATAATTGTATGGGATTTACTTTTTCCGGGATTTCTACGTGAAGAGAGACATAAATTTTCAACGCATTGAAATTAAGTTTTTTTGGTCTTGAAAAGCAGTCATAAATTTCTGCGTGATTCCCGAACCTGTTGTAGGTTGCTACATATGATATGGTGAAATTTAGTTTATGGTTTAATCACAGGTTATTTCAGTTTTATTNATTGAAATTAAGTTTTTTTGGTCTTGAAAAGCAGTCATAAATTTCTGCGTGATTCCCGAACCTGTTGTAGGTTGCTACATATGATATGGTGAAATTTAGTTTATGGTTTAATCACAGGTTATTTCAGTTTTATTACTGTGAGATTTGTAATTTGAGGGTTGGTGTTTTTTTTTTATTAACTGGGAAATTGCTTGTTTGCCTCGAGGCCGAACTTCGTTGGAGATATGTTACATTTCATTTCTGGGAGCTTTCCTTTGTCGAAAAAAAAATGTGCTTCTGGTTGAGGAGTTCTGAACCAGATTAATATGCGATTTATTCCGACTCTGAATCGTAATTATTGTTTTTCGATTGAATTTTGATAGAAGCGCAGAAATAATTGTTTCCCTACTCTTCGAATTATTTTAAACTCTGTTGAGTTTGATCATTTGTGTGGTCAATGAACGCGCTCATTCGAAAAATGAGAGGATTTCCTGAATTTTTGATTTCCCTGGAAGTGGGACGTCTTTTGAAAGTCAAAATCTCTTTTGAGGATGAGTAGATGTCGCTCGAATGAAGTTCATGTTCTTTGGATCTGATATTGTGTTGAGTTTATTTATGATGATGGTGTTGGGGGTCCTCAGACCGCACAACAAAGATTTGGTTTATAGTGAAATAAACTCAGTAAGCACAATCGGCCGTTTGCGGCCTGAGGATTCTGAACTCATCAACATATGTTTATAACTCCAAGTCCAAGTCCACAAAATGTTCCAACCAAAAATATGTCACACACAAAATGCAGGTCTTTTCTCTCCAAAGTTCAGAGCAGGATTAATTGATTCTTCTGATGATTTCTCACAGGTCCAGGTCCTCCCCAGTGGAAAGCTTCTCCAAGGTTTTCACTGGGGTGTGACTAATTTTCTGTTTGTAAATTTCCTAATAACTCCTTTCATCAAGTGGTGATTCACTTGATGGAATATTTTCCTGAAGATCAATATCTTCAGGTTCAATTATGTTTGGAATTCTTCAAATATTGTTTTTATTTTGTTTGTGTATTCTAGAAGTTAGTTTCTTGTATGATGTGGCTATGTCTTGCTGTACCCTGCGCTGCGGGCGACATCTAGTCAACCTGTGACAGATGGTTCAGATGCCGTTGATGTCCTTATCTTTGTGCATTTCGTGTGGTTCTGAAGTTAATTTTGTGAAATTCTGCAGAATGTGGTTATGGTAATGATTCAAGCAACATTTACAAGATACGTCAGGGAATAACATGTGGAACTATTTTTGCTAAAAAAAAATATGGAGTAGGTACTGTATATTCCTGAGAGTACTGCTCATCAAAAAGTCGACGAGATCAACGTTGGACGCGTGCATTTTTGTTCAGCATCTGCTTTCATGATTTTTTTGCTAGGAAGTGAATTTCTTGTTCTTCCTTTTTGTGGGAAAAAAGAACGTGTGAATCGTGTTGAGGATTTTGAAAAGTGTGGAAAATGGGGAACACGATTGGTGTGATGGCACCTGAGCGGATGGACTGCAGGAAGTACAACGTGGAAGGAAAATACAAACAAAAGTCAGTTCGCTTTCCAGCTGTTTTCCACTTTTTTTGTCACAAGAAATATTTTGATTCCGTTTGCATGCGTTTCTCTGGATTACTTTTTATTAATATTTCTTCCGTTTGTTATTAAAAAGGGGCACCCGAATGTGGAACCCAATTTCACACAGCTGGAGATGAAATTCTCAGCGTCTTCGGTGACGTTTATTGTGATTGATGAAGTGCTACTTTTTTTTTTACTCCACTTGGTTTTTTTGACGTACTTGAAAGTATTTCGGTGCGAGTACCGGAAAATTACTTGTGGTCGGGACCTAATTGAAGCTTTATTGCCGAGCTTTTTCTCCGTCAGGCTATGATTATTTCTTGTGAGGGGGGTTTTTTTTCCTGTGAAACACTGGCCCCATTTTGGGTTCTGACAGGTGATTTTCTTTTTCGTGGTAACAGCAGTTATTTCTGTTACCTTCTGGTTCTATGTCTTTCGTCCGTTTTTGTCGGAAAGCATCGATTGAAAACGTTTGGGATCATGTTTATACTGTAGTGAATAATACTTTACCGAATTGTTTTGTAACATGGTCCAACTATAGACTGTGGTAATGATCCTTAATTGTACCTTCTAGCGGAATTTTAGTGACACTACAAAGACTTGAAATTATTTTTTCAAGTACAGTAGACGCAAAAAGAGAATAACGAATTCGAATTTTCCAAGCTGTTCATTGATACTGTATAAAAAAATGTTCAGGATATTCGTTCTATTTTGAGTAATCTTCAGTTTTTCGAACGGAGACAATTGAAGAACTCGTCCCTTGTGAAGAGGAATTAAATGTATGATCTTGAGCATTCATTAAAAGTTCGTTCGAAGTTTTGAAATGTGCGACCGAGTAAATATTTCTCCAGTGGATGGTTTGAATCCTTTTGGGGAACATTTTCTTATGAATGGCGACATTAGAAGGAAAGAAAAAGTCTCATGATAAACTTGTATTTTCGAGGTGTCACGGGGAATTTTGTTACGTCATTGCCCCATTTTTTTTTGAACAGAAATGATGCTATTGTTCACAGTTTTGAAAGTCGCTTGGAGAACTTCATTATTTGCGGAAGGCGAATTATTCTGCATTACGAAAATCTGTCATGTAACCGATTTTTATTTGTGAAATTCCTCCAGCGCATTGGTTCCAATTTTAAATTTTACGATTGCCCGAAACGGAAATTTTCCTAATATACAGTCTTGAAAAAAAAAAAAGATGTAAAAAGCATTTCTCCAGGGATCAAACCCTGGCAATTGCACAAAACGGCTACCGTACTTAGAATATGTAATCTATGTTACTCTTACATTATTAAAATTAGTGTAAGTTAGGTTAGTCTGACTTGGACAATTTTAATTAAGATTGGTTTAAAATGCGAATAATTGCATTTATGCTAGTTGCAAGGGAGAGTCAAGTGCAATTTTAGCTCGAGCTGATTTAAATTAAATTAGGTAATCTTACTTAAAGTAATTGTACGCTGATTTAGATCAAATTCAATTTTTTGATGACGTTTTTGGATTATTTTTGAGTGGGCCATGCGGTTTTTTTTTATTATGATTGCTTTTTGAAGAATGAAGAACTTGATTCATGTCAACATTATTTCCTAGTACAGTATATTTTTCGAATCCGTTCACGATGTGCATCAGTAAGAGACTAATTCTCAGCGGGAACTTTCATAAGTCTCCACTCACTTAATTTCCTTCCATATTCCTTCATTCTATACTTGACAAAATTCCTGGGGCTCTTCTGAAGAATTAGAAAAAAATCGCTGAACTTTAAGGGAATTCGGAAGATATTTTAAAAGCAAACGGAAGTGAGGAAACTGGTATGGAGGACTGGAATCGGAGTCATGCGACGGAAGAGGTTGTCGACACTGACCGCGTCTTATCGTCACTGTCGTCGTCGAGGCTGACAAACAGTCTCGCTGACGAAATTAGTGCGTCCTTGTGTCAGGATTGTGCAGTGAAGCAACAGCAAAAACGCGGAAATTGCGGCGTTTTCGATCGTTCGTTGTCGGATTCTGTGTTGAGTCTTGTTGGACAGGAGAGAGGAGGAGAAGAAATGAGTGTCGATGACGACGCCGACGTGCGAGACTTGGGTGGTGTCGATTGGCGAGACGGCGGGAAAAAGGCGGCGTTTGTATTTTTTTCATTTTGTGCTTTGTAAATGTATACAATAGTTGGAGGGAAAAATTAGGTTCGGTAAAAGTTGTTCAATTGTTCAAGAAAAATCCTCGTCATTTGTGGGTTATTGAGACATTTTATTGAGTCACGCTGTTTGAATTTATGTCCAGCGAGGTTTGCTTGCAAATTTCGAGAACTCTTTTGAGTATTTTCACAGAATGCCTGCTGGCTAATCCTTTTTTAGATCTTTTATTTGGTTTGCGTGACAGTTCCGTAATTTTTTTTTCTTGAAAATTGGCACGCTTTTGAGACATGTATTCCTCAGTTCTGAAGCCAAACGAAATTAATTTGTGAACTAAGCGTGCACAATTCGTGAAAATTTTAAAGAAAAAAGCTCGTTGGATTTCGCGGGAGCAATGAACAAACTTCACTGAATTCTGAAGAAATTTGAATTGAATTCTGCTCAGGAATCGTTGAGATTCACGCAGTTGCGCGAACGTAATAAATAAACCAGATCAATGACACGACATTTAGTGACAAAACTTATTTCTTAAACAATCATGAACAACAATTCAGGGAATTGTAATAATGAAAGGTAAGAAAAATCCCGAAAAATCCATTACATAAATTTTGAGAAAGTGCATGTACTGTAAAACTTGTTTAAATATGTGAGATTGCGAAACTGGTTAAAATCTAAAAACATGAAATAAGGCTTTGTCTTCATTGACGGCTGGCGAAATCTGATTTGTTTCTTTTAAATCTGTCAATAAATAATGACAGCTAATGAAGCAAAGCCATCAAATTTGAAAATCATTAGAGTAGAAGTGAAAATAATGGCGTTTTACCGTTATTTTTCAGCCACAAGGAACCGATCATGCATTGAAATGACTGCCCATTGAGGAAAAATGTCATGTTTATTTCATGTGTACTGTTGCTTGATGACATAAAATATTAACGGGGACTTCGGCCAGTAATAAATGTGTCAAGGATTTGGCGATAAAGTATTTGCTGTACTACAAATAGAACGTGTTTGTCGGTGAAAGTGACCATTGAAATAATGAACTTGAAGAAGAAGGTCTGTGAAAATTCGTGAAACGAATCCCGAATAAATTTTGAGGCTTCTAAAAAAAATTTCGGACACTAGGAATAAAAAAAATTTATTTTGCGAGACACATTCCTTTTTGCAAGCCTTGTGTAAAGGTTCTTTTCGCCTTTTTGACAAGAAACTGACTCTAATCATGCATAGATTCAAAGCGAATATCTTCTTTCATTGCCTTAATCAGATTTATTTTTCAATACCCATCAATTGATTTTTCTCTTTTTTTCTATAATGAAGGCAGAAAATTATTTGCAGCATTGGAGTGCATGTGGATTTTAAAATATCGCGTATTGTACGTTAGTGTACCGTACCTTTCACTGAAATGTCTGAGAGCCGTTTTCAAGATAGATGAGTAGGTGTCACCAGAATCACTCTCAACAGGAATATTCTGTTAAATTGTCCGACTTTGACTTCGAAAAATCGCTCATGATTCATAGGAAATACTCACGCAATTGTGAAAACAATGATGGAACAAAACCCATTCAACGTGCTGAAGTTGCGAGGAATTGGAAACTTGTCAACTTCGTTTAAGCGAAGGAAAAAGGATTTTGCGATATCTCATATTGTGGTGGCACTTTTAGTTTTCTATGATTGTGATGGAGGAAAAAAATATTTGCGCAGGATATGAATTTTTTTCAACGAGTTTTGAAAAATGTAACCACGAATGAAATTTATTTTCCATGCTCATAATTAATTGTACTCATTGAAAATCCAAGACTGTTTCAATTCACTGCACATAATTTTATTTCCGGTGGTAAATTCAGACAATAATTTTCTCCTCTTCATTTCAATTGTGGTAAATGTTTTCTTCAGTTGAAGTTATGAAATATTTATTTTACCTGCAATGTCTAAGGCATTTTTGCAGGCAGATTTTTTCCTTATCCTTCACAATTTTATTCACTGATCGAACTAAGGACGGATGGGTATGCATATTATGCGAGAGAAACCGGTTGAAATATTAATATATTATATGATACAATCGTCGCCTTTTGATGATCAGTAATTTCCCGTGAGACTTGGCATTAATTTAAAAATCCTTCGTTATTTTTTCCTGATGAATTAGATCAGCACAAACCCGCAGTCGAATTACAACCGATGCTGGATTTAGTGCAATTTTATTGTTGCCGACTAAAATCGTCGTGTGTTCGTTCGAAGAGTGAGATTATCGGTCTTGTCAATGAGATAAGACTCATTCCTCCAGGTTTCTTCAAAAAGTTTTTAGAACGACTTTCCCAATTTCTGATGTGCCTGTTCTTTGAAAAGGTTTTTTTTCTCCGGAAATCACGAGAGGTCAAAAATAATTTATTCCACTATTTTTGTTTTCTCGGTAGGTATTTTGGTTCTTAGAAGTGAATTCGAGAGCTTGAACCTTGTTGAGTTATTATGGAATACCCTGCATACTATTTATTCACGTGTGCTGGTGAATAAAATGATAATTCCTGGGTCATTCGGATAACGATACTGGGTCGGACTGGCTTTTGTTGTCATGTCGCAACCATTGCGGTGGCCTGTGGCAACGCTGCTTTTTTTTCGTGTCTTTTTGGTTCATGGTCACATGGTTCAGAATCTATCCGTTTTGCGTGTGCAGTACTTTGACATTTTTGTGTATCGTGAACTCCACAAAATTTCATTTTATTTTTTTCATGGGAAATTAAATTCAATTTCCTTGAAATTGAATTTGAGAATGCGTTTCAGGCGCCTTTTTCTATGATTATGGCCGTGATTACGGTCTGAGAAAATTCTTTTGAATGATGGAAAGGCTGAATTGAAACTTGGAGATAATTTTTTTCTGCTGTGATTAAGTGTTTGGAAATTTCAGTGGATGATCATTTATTGAAAAGAGTCATTCATTAAAGCAAATTTATGGACTCGGGTCCTTCGTGTTCAAGTTTCTGGTTGGTCACGAACGTTTGCTCGGAAAAAATATTTTCATGTTTTACAATAGTTGATTTGCAAAACGTGGTTTTCGAAATTATTCATCAGGATCAGTTTTTGTTTACTATTTTCGTTTTCGTCATACCTCCTGATGAGCGTGAAAAAATATAAATTTGGCGGATTTTCTTATGCCCTAGTTACGGACTGGGAAATTTATTGCGAATGATAGAAAAGTCTGAATTAAAACTTGAATATACAGTAATTTTAATTTGTTTTTCTGTGGGGAGTGGAGTGTAGGTTCATTTAATGAAACGGCTTATTCATAAATGAAATTTTTGAAATTCCAGATCGGCGCATTTTATTTTCGTTGTCCACACTTTTACAACAGTTGAAAGAATTTGGCTTTCGAAATTAGTCGACTGGATTAGTTCGGTGTTCACTATATTTTTTTTTCTCATCCTATACCTGCTTGGAAGCGTAAAAATAATTCTGAGAGGAATTCTTTTAGTTTCTTTTTTTTTTCTTCTTGTTGGGATATTTTTCTGTTGGACGGTTGCTGGAAAAAGGAAACTTCCTCCCAAAAATATTTTAAATCCTGCGCCTGTTCGGGTGTGATGTTGCTTGAAGCCAATGAGAAGAAGCCCAGAATATTCTCAGCATCCTGTTGGGATTCCTGGTGTGGGCTGTTGTTCCCTTTATTTTTACCAATGCTTATATACAGTATATGGGGATATATATACAATATATGAAAGGGAGCAATTTTCCTCTCTCTCTCTTTCTGACCGATTTTCCCTGGCTTAGGGTTATTGGCCAGCAAGAAATAAAGCGTGTTCTTCTGGAAGATTTATTTCGGAGTTCAGTGGCTTTAGAAAACATTCCAAGGTTGCTCTCATTTTGCGTCGGCGGAGTTTTTCATTTGTACTTTATTTATTTATTTATTTATGTTCCATTCGACTTATCAGAAATGTAGCTATCTATATCTATTTCTTTTATTTATTCTTGAATTAAATTTACTGAGTGATACTCATTTACTACATCCCTGAATGAAAAGCTTATAGGTTAAGGATACTGTATTGTGGAGTGTTGTTCTAATATTTCGGAGTGTTCCTCTTATATTTTAAGTTAGTTAAGTTTCTGTGACTTCAGACAATTTGAGGGGACTCTTACATTTATTCTCGGTTGCTCAAATTATTTTTTCGCGTGAGATTTTTTGTTTTACATCCATAAGAGAAAAAATAAATTGAAATTATAACATTAGAAATATTTTATGAAGAATACTGCGTTGCGTTTTTAGAGAGTTCTTCTATATTACAGTATTTTGAATTGTTCATCTAATATCAGAGTGTTTCTGTTTTATCGTACTGTTTCTTTAATGTACGGTACAGTATTTAAATTTTGAAAATTGTGTCCGGATTTTCGAAATTTTAGAGTGCTTGCAATGTATTCTTTTTTCAGTTTAGCCAAATTGATGTACAGTATAGTTTGTATAAGAACCTCTTTCTACGTCCACAGGAAAAAAGCTCATGTAATGGATAATGCTTTTTCATAGTTTTGATCTAAAATTTTATTTACAGTACTTACGTTTTGTACGACTTTTCGTAAGTTTAAAGAATTTGATTATTTTCTCAGTTCCCTATTACTGTGCATAAGACCATCTTTCTTTGTCCCTAAGAAAAAAATCTCGTGTGATGGATGTTGATTTTTCGAAGTGTTGTTCTAACATTTCAATTTGGCCATTTTTTTCAACTACTTAACGACCATTTTTAAGGGCTCATGTTCCTTTTTTCTGAATCAGAGAAGTTAATTTGTTGCGTGATCCGTTTTCTACATCCCTGAGATTAAAAGGAAGCCTTGGAAAAATAATGTGTTACCATTCTTCGTGCGATTTCAAAATTATTATTTCCTCCATTTGCCGGCGGATCCCGGAAAGAATTGCGTGGGAAATGTTTTCAAATTTTTTTCGTCGTGTTTGAAGAAACAGGGGTGACCGGAAGATGCGAGTTCTGGTGCGTCCAATTCGATCTGGGATATTTGTCTGTAGAACCGCTTGTTCTCAAGTGGAGGATGTTCAGTGAGTCGTGTGTGGAGTTGAGTGTTTTGTGCGAGGCTGTCTTTAGTTTTGTGATTTTTTTTGTTGTAGAAAAACGTCTGCGATTAAAATACATTCAGATACGGATTTTTTTTTTTTTTTAATCCCGAGAAGATATCAACAGTTAGTGAACTTGGATTCAACCCGTTTTCAGGGATGATCCACTGTTGAGCTTCATATTTTTTAAATTCATATTTGAGAAGGCTATTTTGCCATTTTTCTGTTTGTTTATTTTTTTTATTTGCTGTTTCTTGAATTTCAGGGTTACCAGGATTTCTCGACTATGGGATTCTTATACAAATCCAATCTGAGCAGGGTTAGCTTTTTTGAGGCTTGTGAGAAAAAGAGATGTCAAACAGACAAACTCACAAAGCTGAAAAATGTGATATAGAATGGATGTGAAAATAGAAAAAGAAGTGATTGAATTAAAGATATGAATCGAAGTTCTTTTCAAGAGAGTGAAGTGTTAAATTAATGAATGAGAGCTCAATGAATCAGCCAGGACAAAGTCCTAGTTTTAACGAGTTGTATTTTTCTTGACGACAAACACTTGGTCAGAATTTTGGAATTCGGAGTTTTTGCGAAATGAAAAGCTTCTCTGCTCGGAGATCTGCTCAGGTTCACAATTCAAATGCGAGTGATGAAAATCATGCTGAATTTGAAAAACAGGAAAGGAGTTGCTGAAGGACGCGGATTAAGAAATCTATTCAGAAGATGTCCTTGCTGGGCCTGGGAATCGAACTCGGGTTCGGTTCCCAGGCTCCAGCAGANCCTGGGAATCGAACTCGGGTTCGGTTCCCAGGCTCCAGCAGAAGCTGTTAGAAATTTTCGGAAAAGACAATCGTTTAAAATTAATCTGGCGCTGAATTGTCGGCATGCCGAAGTTTTTTCCAACAAGGCTCATTCTGTACTCTATTCCTGATAATTGTGTATATCTTATGCGCATATTGTGTATGATTATTATCAACAATATTTTATCTGAAAATTATGCTCAGTGGACCAAAAAATTGTTACTCAGCTTATTTATCTGTGGATGAGATGCATATACAGTACAGTACAGTAAAAGGGTTCAACCATAACTGTTAGCTCTGTTGTGATTAAACTACAATGTTTTCCCCTTTTGGAGGGGGGGGGAAGAAAATACAGCATGGGTTTAACAGTACTGATTTTTGTAACTTCCTGAAAACTGCACTTGGAACACTAACTTTTATGTAAGAGAAAAATATCTTGTCAAGACAAGTTCATACATTGGACCTTGTCTTTTGTGAAAATACGGTTTACCTGCCCCAATTTTGGCTTAACCCATGTTTTGTGAATGAGAAAGAAATCACAGGTTTTCAAAACTTATTTAGAAACATGGATAACTTTCTTAGTTGGAATGTTATTGATCTGAAGACCGTGTTTCCGTCTTATCCGTTTGTAAAATTATTTTTCAACACATCAAAAGGAAAAGTTTCTTTGAAGTGTGTTTGTGTTTCTGTCTGTGTTTGAGTAAGGTTTATAAGAATTGTCACCGCTCTAATTAACAAAATTACTGTGCAAATTGAATTAAATTTGCACGAAGTCCTGCTATTTCCACAGTAATTTATAATTAGACTTGTTGGATTATTATTCCGTTATTTGGTTATTTAAAGGATTCAAAGCTAATTACTGTACTGGACATTTAATTCAAAATTTCAGATCCATCTTTTGTGGAAATACGTTTGGATTCTGTATGTTAGGACTGAAATGATGTTCCTGTTTGTAGAATGTTGTGGAGGAAATTGTTGTAAGAGGATGTACTCTACCTCTGTTTTTGTTTGAACAAGATAAGTTTTGATTTTTTCTGTCTCGCTTTTTGATGTTGCATTTTTTTTTGTCAAATTCGGTATGTGCAAGATCGTGGAACAAAATCTAGCTTTGTCAACTGGAAAAAATACCAGGTGTAATTTCTTGTTGCTTTCTTTGATACAGTATTCTAGAATAAATAAGTAATTCACTGCACATAGAAACCATATGGCTTTGGCAACACTTGATATGACTGCATGTATGGATGCCCTTCTTGAGTTGCACACTTATTGTTGGGAAATATCCCCTCAGGAAGTGATACAGAATTTAATTTCTTTGATTTGCAACAGGAACAGATAAGCAAACTGTCTCCAAGTTTCTTGGCATTCATGCTGAGCTATGTAATTACATGGTTGTATAAATATTTTAATTACTGAGCAAATAAAAACTGGGCTACTTTATTGGGTAAATATTCTCTTTGGAAGTTACCCATCATCCATTTCCTTGATGTGCAACAGGAACAGGTTGACAAGAGCAAACTGTCAAGAGGTTTCTTATCAGTCAACCATGTTGGTTCTATGACTGAAAACCTTGTCTAGACCTGTTTCCTCCATTCTGTCCAACCTTGGATTTATTCTCTCGTTTCTGCGAAAATTCTGTTTGCCCTCCGTGCCCTCTTTGGGTGGGTGGTTTTGAACGGCGTCGCGTCTGCAGTCTCTCCTTCAACCTTCATTCCTGTCTTGCGCCGCGTCAGCTGAGGCACGGGTAAAATGGCAAGCCGCTCTGGCGGTGCGTAAGAGAGAATTGTCAGAAAGCAGTTGAAGCATCAAAATGATTTTCTGCTTGATGGTAAATTTGTGTAAAATTCTTTCACCTCTCGTATCCCCTGTGAATGATTTAATATGTACAGTGAGGCATCTGTGAATTATTTAATATGTACAATGAGACCCCGAGATGTGGACGTATTTGGTGCATCAAGAGTGTCCCCAAGTCAAAATGTCCCTAAGTCGAGTCTTGTTTTCCCATAGACTTACATTATATAATTTTTAATTGGTGTTTTGTGGAAGAAATATTCTTCAGAATTCCCTGAAATATTTGTTTGCCACTATCAAGAGTGTCCCCAAGTCAAAATGTCCCTAAGTCGAGTCTTGTTTTCCCATAGACTTACATTATATAATTTTTAATTGGTGTTTTGTGGAAGAAATATTCTTCAGAATTCCCTGAAAAATTTGTTTGCCACTTGAATTTGAATTAGTGAAAACATTTTCAACTAAATAGGAACATTTGGAGCATTGAATAGTGAATCTCTGTACTGTACACTGAAATTTTGGCATCTGCAAAAATAACATTCAAGTGAAAATTAAGTAGAAGTCCCTCTATGCTGGAGGTAATTTTTTTCAATGAGCTAAATGGATGGTAATTTGGTGTGAGAGAGAAATGCTCAAGAACTTTTCTTACATCAATTTTAGGGTTGGAAATGTCTGTTTCTTGTAATTTGGCATGAAATATATTTGCAATTTTATCACAAAATGTCCCTATATGTCAAGTCAGTGTCCCTATGTCAAATTATCCACGGGTTGAGTTGTCCGCATGTTGGGGTGTCACTGTATGTCTTACTGTAGGAACTACTGTATTTTGCTTGCTTGAACAGTATTTTGTTCCAAAGGAAAATAAACTTTGAAAATTGTGCCCTCCAAACTTTTTGAAACTCTGAATAATATTCTGATTTTAAAATATTTTTAATTCGCATATATCAGATTTGTTGACGCAAATACTGCATCTTTAGATAAAGGGGTGTCTCGGTTAATGGACTTCGACCTGTTCCAAAGGAGATTCTATTAATTCCATGAATATTACTGCGAATACACACAGAAGCAAAGGAAACAATGTTTCAACTAATGAAGAAAATCAAAGAATTCGTAAACGTTTGCAAATTTTCTTGTGGCAGCAACATTTGCCATACAAATTGAGAAATTTAGGAATTTAGTCAAATGAGGACTACAACTCAAAGCTGAAGTTGGTCAGTCTCGATGACACCCAATGAAAAGATTTTATTTATAAACTATAATTTTCAGGTAATACAGTTCTCGTAAACCTTTTTATGTTGTCACAAGCGGTTGGTTACATGGTCACGGTCAGACCTTCAAAAAATTCCAGTCAGTGGAAAATTTTTTTCAGCTAAATAGATTTATCAAGAAGAGTATTGCAGTCTTATCTTTATCCGAAATTTCGGAAAGACAATTACATTTGGAATTATTTGATGAAAAATGGAAGTTGGGATTTCTCCCAATACTGCTTCAGACAATTTTCCACCTGCTGAAATAAACTATTTTAATTTTTCCTTCCAAGAACCTTTCTTCCAGCCCAGCTTTCTAATTTTTGAAGACCTTCCTCCAAAGCTGCTTCATTGCTTCTCAATTCAAATTTCTTGAAGAAGCAGAAACTTTTGAAATATCTGTCATGATGTCCTTCAAGCAAAACTTTTTGAGCGCGAAAATTTTATGAATCTTTGCTGTTCAAACGAAAACTTGCTGGTCATCGGGCCCAAAAAGGTTGGGGAACACTGAATTCTATCAGATGGTGTTTTTAACCTTGAGTTTTTCTTCTTGAATCAAACAAGTCATGTTTCCTGCTTTTGGAAAGGCAACTTTTTCTGGCGCCCGCCACAGTCCTTCCTGTTATCCATGCTGTATTGTACTGTACTGCAGACACCCTACCCACTTCCCTGATTTTCTCCATTTCTTGTCTCCCCCCACTCCCTAACTGAAGCTCATTCCTGAACTGCGCGCGCATCCTCTGCGAGGGTGGCAAGCTAGGCGTTATTCGCCCGTTGAAGCCCAGTCCATGCGCTGTGAAAGCACATGAATGCAAAGCCCGGCTTTCAAGCCTGCAAATTTGTTGTGTGCGTGTGTGTGAGAGTGAAGCTGCTGCTGTGATTTCAAACAATGTTCGTCGCTGGGGCTCGAGCTCTGGTGTAAGTAGTTTCTTTTTTTTTTCTTGCTTTCTTGAATTCAATCGTGTGAACGGATCACTGCTTTATCCGGTGTGGAGAGCATCCCGAATTTGTGATGGTGGTCTCGCTCATCATAATGGCGTACCGGTTGCGCGGGGTTTTAGTTTGAACTGATGCCGGGCTGACGCAATCCAACCGTGCTTGTGCACACGTATCGCCGCTTTATATATAGTGCATGGTGTGCTGAATCATCAATCTATCAATCAATGATCGTAAATTGGAACTGAAAATTCAGTAAATGCTTTCTTAAGTTATATTTTAACCTCGATTAATGCGAGTGAAACCTGGCGTATTCGCGCAACTCTGTTCTGAACCTGAATTTTCGGTTGCTATTTCGTAGGAGAAATACGGGGGGGGGGGGGTGTAAACTGTGATTGGGCTTCAAAAAAATTGTAAAAAAAAATTTGAATGGAAAGCCGTATCATTCTTGAAACAGAAGAATGGTTTTCATTTGGTTTCCACACGCTTGATTGACAATTTTGGAAGCGTTGAATGCGGTTTCTCTCCGCACGTGAACTGAAGTACTGTAGGAATTTTATGAGGTTTTTATCCTTTTGACTGACAGTCTTTCGCTGTCGTAAATGCAATGTGGCTTTTGAATGACTATTTTGGTAGAATATCCGCTTGATTTTTTTCACGATTTCAAGAAATTTAAAGCTAAGGAAATGATTTTGTGTGATGGTCGATGAGCGGCCTACATGCATGCGTACGTGTTGGTAACACCAAGGTTTATATAAGCGTTCGTTGTACAAGTGCTTCCTGTAGTGGTGGTTAAGTTCATTTTTTTTCTTCTGGTCTCTCTGAAAATAACTATACAGTACTGTACTGCGAGATGAAAACGATGTGCGTTCCTCGAAACGAAGCTTGTGTTTACTGTAGTCCGGTAATTTTCCATTGCCTCTTTGAACTATTCCTCGGCCGAAATTATGGTTCTGAAGGAACTAAATGAACTGTGTTACCTTGGCCGAACTTGGGGGTTTGTTTGAAGGCCTTCTGAACTGTTAACTGGAACTGAAAGTTATACGACCGTGTCACGAATTCATTTACCACACACTGCAGTACTTCTCAGTGCACCGGATTGATTCATGGCGGAATTGCCTTCGGTACCTGCTGGGTTCGTGTCATGGCTTGCACTGTATATAATGGTGATCAGATCGCGTGCGTCTTAGTGAGCTTAGATCTTTTATCGAGAGTCTTAATTTGATTTGTCGCTGATATGGCTAATAGATCGGTCGGGTTAGCTGATAGGTGCATTTTACCCTTTGCTTGCTGGGTCAGTGGGTTTTTTATTGGATGTCTGTCCCTAGTGAAGGTTATGATATTTTAGTGAGGTTCGAGTTCGGCAGTTCTTAATGTTAATGTTGACTCGGAGGTTTATGAAAAGTTGAAGTCAGGTACGTTAGTTATATGGGTGTGGTTGCTGAGGATTATTTTCTCATGTGAGGTTAAGGGTATTTTTTCTGCGTGATATGTAACCTAATCATGAGTCATCAGGTTACTCAAGGTTATATTACTTGTGACTCAGAATTAGGAAAGGTATATTTGACATCGTGACATTCATTATTCCGATTCATGATTAGGCGAATCCTGAGTCATGAGTAACCACTTTTTAAGTTACTGTATATTGTACTTATGATTGGCTTACTTTTAACTCAGGTTTGGTTTGATTAAATATGATCTCAAGTTACGTCTTGTGTTTATCACAATACGTACTACACCTTCATCTTATCAATCTAAAAGTAAGCAAAGAACTACTTTATACGTTAAGGTATATGACGGTAAACCACTACTGTGTATATCATGAAAAAATGTAAATGCCATGACAAGAACGATTAGTCAACGGGTGTTAAATTCTGGTCGGTGTTAAATTGAATATACAGTATATGGTTCCATTTTTACTGGGCCCATGGAACTATTGAAAAAACTAGTTTTCTGTCTTTTTCCTGTCCTTGAAGACAAACTTTTGTTCTGAAATTTTGAATGAATATTTTTGTAGGTCGAGGGTTTTTGTTCACGTTAGGTATTCCTTGGGGTTGCCAAACTTTTCTGGTAGAACAGTTAATTTTTCAATTTTGGGTTTGGTAGCTCTCTGAATTTCGAATGAATTTGTTTTATTTATCTTACCGATCGCCTAAAATAGATCTTCAACGAGACGATATAACCATTTTGTAAATAAATTTTATGGGTTCAGCATAAACCAAAGCCGTTCAGGTTCTAGGTTGGGAATATTTCAGGTTGGGTCTGTTGGGTTTTCAGCTTCATAAAGGAACTAAAAGTTGAACCTCGTCTAGACGAAAAACCTCCGATTGAATTTCCAGCGGATCTCCTCAGGCCAATTCCCGGAAGTCCAGTGAAATTAAGACCTCCCCAACTCAAAACCTTTATGGTCAAGCCTCCCTTAGTATAAATTTTTTTTTCATAAATTTGGAGCTAAGTGTAAGATTATTTTTCAAGAAAAAATACTGTGTACGCAAATTATTTACTTTCTGCTTTTCACGTAGCATATACTTGCCGGTTGGCCATGGATGAACGATGAACAGTTTTAATAATTTGGCCAGAAAATAATTTCCATTGTTCTACGAAAACTACCCAAAATTTGCTGAAGTCCTCCAAATTTCGTGGTAAACATTTTTTCGAGTCCCTTCAAATTTGTTTTGGAGGGGTTTAACTGTACCAAACCGCGATTTTAACTGTTTCCTCACTAAACCCGAGGTTGTGGGTAGTTGTGACTTTTCACGAGGACCTTTTTTATTTTCCACGGATAAATTGAAATGTTCGTTAATTTTTTTGCACGTATGTGTGTGTGTGTGGCTACGAATTCAGGTCCGGTGGAGGACAAGGAGCATTGGCAAACGGGGTGCGTGCCACTTCCGCTTTCACGCCCATCATGCCGCTTGACAGGCCTGGACAATGGAATTATGTGAACCCGGACCGGAAGTTTCACGAAGTATGTGGCGACAACATTTGCCCGTCTCAAGTGCGAGGCATGGACTTTTTGCGGGATCCACGCCTCAACAAAGTGAGTTTATTTCTGAATTTCACGAAATGGTGGAAAATTATCGCTCGAAGGTACAGTTGAACCTCCGATGACTCGAACCTTCCTAACTCGATGGCTTTCCTCCTTGAAACTTCCATAACTCGAATTTCCTGGTAGCCTTTTGTCTGCCTAACCCTTTTCTCAAAAGTTCAGCATCCTGTCAACTCATTTCAGGAGCAATTCAAGGCCTAGTATATCACCCGATTTCAATTTCCTGTCATCCGTCTTCATTTTCCCTCAACGACAAAATTCTTGTTTCCCTCGCTCTGATTTTTTTTTTTTTGCTGGTCGCTTGCATTTTGAATTGAAGTTCACAATTTAATCCAATGTTGGGATTTTGTGAATGATTTATTCTGCGGAGAAATAACCTGTGAAGTATCAAGCACTCAGGAACCAAATGTAGAATTCCGTTTGAACGTATATTTTCGTTACAAATTTTGTAGTGGCGCGAAAGGAACCGAGTTTGGATGCTACATGTAGGCTTCAAGTCGAGACGAAAATCAGCGGATACGAGGGTATTTTAAACAATTTATTCTGCCGTCAAACATTTATTTTCATTTTGAATATTGAGCATTCTGGAATCGAAGGAAGGGCTTCGTTCGGAGGGTTGTTTTTTTTTTTTTGTTTAAAATTGTATTTTTATTGTATTAGCGCGGAATTGAATGCGATTTGGATGGTGCCGGTTTATAGATTTTTGTTGAAAATTGATTTGACAGAAGAAATAAATATCTTGAATATCAATTGTTCTCGAACCAAAAGTAGAATTATTTTCGAACGTACAGTACTGCATGTTGCAAATGAATTTTTATTCATTTTTCCCCGACCGGAATTTATGGGATTTTATGTTTGAAAAATCCCGTTTCAATTAAATTGGGAACTGCAAAAAAATTTTCTTGAAATTTCTCATTTTTTCATACCTTTTCTTGTTCGTATTTGAAGGTCAAAGGCATGAGTTTTGTTTCCATGCTTGAGAAGAAAGCAACAACAACCACCACAATTCTCGAATATATGTCAAATTAGAATGAAAGAACTTTCGAAGGATTGCTGATTAAACTTTGATACCAGAAAATGTGTTCTGATTAAACTACGACGTTAAAATCCTAGCAAAAGTTAACTACCTTAAGGCACGCACTTTAAGCAACTTTTACATAAGTGTAGCAAACTCCATTAAAGTTCTTAAAAGTCTGACGCAAAGTTCATAAGAACGCAACGTCAGATTTCGTGTCGAATATCATTGAAAATTCGAACACTTCGTTTGTAAAACAAATCAAGTACGAGGTATTGCTGATGTTTTGTATTTTAAGTTTTCCCTCTCCGTTATCAGTACCTGTCAGTCCCTCTACTGCTGATTGATCTTTAAGCCGCGTTCTTTATTTTCAACCGTGGAAAACGCGCTTTGGCTGCGTTTCAAATTACTTTTGCCAAGAAAATCCCCGAGTTAAAGGCAGGTTATATTTATCCCTATTTTCCTCGTGAAGATGTCGAGGAAAGCACGGGGGGTCAAGGTGGTGTTTTGGTTTCGAAGGGATGTTGATAAGTTTCGGGGTCTTCTGACGCTTCCGTGAAACAGGGTTCCAAAAGCTTTGTCATTGTAACAAGTTGCTTTGTGCATAATACGGGGCTTTTGATATATTTTTTCGAATGGTTCGTAAGTATTGTAATTTAAATCTACAGTTCTTGATGCATTGATTAAATTCTCTCTGTGGAAACTTCTGAGGCTCTTTTTCGCTTCCACCGCCTGGTGTCC